CTGGATATAAGTTCTCTTTACACTTTCATTCTCCATGAAGTTGGCCTGTTAGTCCTAACATACCATCTGACGCACTGCCCTGACATAAACTACAAACAAGCACAATTCATTGTGGAAATCCCCAGATTTACATTGGAACATCATTATTTTTTCCTTCCTTGATCAATTCTGTTCGTAGATTGAGGGCATGGCCATGGGTTCCGATTTTGCAAGTTACGCCCACCTAACAGGCAGGGGCGTATTTACCGCGAGGCAAACAAGGCGTTTGCCTGGAGCGGCACTTTGCAGGGGAGCGGCATTTTTTAATAGACACGGCCCCGGTCGGCAGAGGCTGCGGGCGGCTCAAGTAAGATGCAGGCTGAAAGCAAGATGCAGAATGGAAGCAGGCTGTGGAGCTGCAGGTAAGAAGAGCAGCATGTGTGCAGGGAAAGGGACCCTCCACAGCCCATAATAGATCATGCACAGCCCACCTTAAAGTCTCTGTGCAAGGTCTATGGTGGGCTCTGGGGGGTCTCTGGTGGGGTTTGCAGGAACTCAGATGGACACTGCAAGGTCTATGGTGGTCTCAGCCTGACATCCTGCAGTGCCCACCAGAGATCCTTTACAGCCCACTTGAGACCCCGGCTTCCCTGCAACACTAAGGCCTCATTCACACTGCTTAAAGTGACATTAAACCCTCAGATTTTTTAACATAAACCAATACTGTAATGTGTGCCTTACTGTAATCCATGGTTGTTTCCCTTCTCTTTGCTGCTCTTCCTTTTAAATCTGTATCTCTTCTCATGCTCTGCAGAACTTCTGTTTTGCAGCAGACTGCCTTGTCTCTGGAATGGATACATGGTGTCTGTGTATACGTTTCTATGGGCTTGTAACCTGAGCCAGCACTACAGGAAGAGGCCCTGAGCTGAAAAGGGAAGTTCTCCCAAAGCATGAGAAGACATGAGGATTTAAAAGGAAGAGCAGCAAAGAGAAGGGAAACTACCATGGATTACAGTAAGGAGCACATTACAGTATTGGTTTATGTTAAAACATCTGAGGGTTTAATGTCACTTTAAGGCTGTGACACACTGCACATGAAGCAGCGTGGAGCGGTGGAGCGCTGCCTTCGCGAGCAGTGTGTCATGGTAATACCCGTACTCCCCCAAATGCTCCTGATACCAAAACTTCCGGTATCAGGAAGCCGGGCAGCGAATCATCACACGCCACCCGGCTTCCTGATTGGTCGGGAAGCTGGCCAATCAGGAAGCTGGACGGCGAGTCATTACCAGCCCTCTTGGCTTTCTGATTGGCCAGAAAGCCAGCTCCATGCTTCCTCATCAACTGGTGACAAGGGAGCATGGAGCCGACTTCCCGGCCAATCAGAAAGCCGGGCAGCGTGTACTGACTCATGGTCCGGCTTCCTGATTTGTCAGGAAGCTGGGCGGCAAGTCAATACCCAACCCCTGGCTTCCTGATTGGCAAGAAACCCGGCTCCATGCTTTCTCGTCACCTGGTGACGAGGGAGCATGGTGCCGGCTTCCCAGCTAATCAGGAAGCTGGGCGGCGAGTCATTACCCGCCACACCGACACCTTTAATGGGACTTTCGGTATCGGTACTCGTACTCAGTACCGAAAAACTGGTATTGGTGCATCCCTACTAAATAGTAAATCTGACATTGAACTACAACAGAAGTCCAGTGGAGCTCTTTTAGACACAAAACACTGCTTATATTACAACACAAAACACTGCTTATATTACAAAACAATGCATTGTACACATACACTGTATGGCTAGCGGTCTGTGATCACCTGGCCATTACAACTACCCATGTGGCCAAAAGTACGTGGACTCCCCTTCAAATGTTTTGAGTTCTGATACACTTTCAGTAAAGGGCACTGTTAATGCTACATCATAGAAAGGCATTTTAGAGAACTGTGTCCTTTCAACCATGTGGTAAGAGTTTGGTGAAGGCCCTTTTCTATTCCAGCATGACTGTGCCCAGAAAGCCAACTCCATAAAGACAAGGTCTGATGAGTTTGGTGTGGAGGAACTCAAGTGGCCTCTACAGAATCATAAGCTCAACCCAACTGAACACCTTTGGGATGGATTGAAACACCAATTGTGAGCCAGGGCTTCTTCTCCAACACCTGAATGAGCACAAATTCCTCCATACAAAATCTTACGAGGAGCCTTTTAGAGAAGTGTGAAGGCTGTTATGACAACAAAAGGGACAACTCTATATTAACACCCATGATTTTGGAATGGAATGTCCATCAAGTTCATATATCATAGTTGTGATGGCCAGGAGCTCAAAAACCATCTCAAATGTTGCTTGCATGGACAGTAGAGCAACTTGCTCACTCAACAAGATCCGCAGTCAGTGCCAGCCCCCCCAATAACACCCAAACGTAGAAACCAGTGTAGTTTATTCCACCATGGCATTACAGAAAATATATACAGTAGTTTCTGTGTCATGGGGATAAGACATCCTTTATCCAAACCGGACTGCTGGGGTGGAAACTGGAACTAACTCAGCTATATAGTGAGGCTGGGAATGTCTAATTAGGGGGGCTATCTCTAACAGACACAGACACACACACACATAGTAAAAACTGGCAATGTTGTGACACTTTTTTTAAAAACATATAAGTACATAACTTTACTAAGTAATCCATATACTGTACATGAAACAATGGCATGCATGCAGTGTAAACATAAAAAAGTTTAAAAATATATTAATACATTATTCTAATACAACCCCTTCACTTCCTGCTATGGAAGAGCCGCCGAGGACCCGACACCCTCTTATATTTTGTGTCTGTGACTTCTCCATCATGTCATGCTGAGAGCTTGGATTACACAAGGAAATAGGCCAGACAGGTTTATGTCTATAGAATTCGGAAGGTCAGGCAGGGCCACACACCTCCAGCACCATATCTTTGGGGGAATGCAACAGCGACCTCTTAAGCTGGCCATACCCCTTACAAGCTGATTGTATAATGTCCTTTGGGCCTACCTGAACAATACACTTAGTTTGCATCCAGTCAGGCAATCCCATGCACCGATGGTAGATCTTAACATGATTATTCAGATGAATTGCACTGTGTATGGTAAACTTTTACACAGATTCTTGCTATTCTCTCAGAGATCTATCAGCTGGGGTCCCTGGAGGGGTCTAAGGGCGGCCATGTACATGAAGACCGTTACATGACCTGGCATAAGTTAGGTGACAGGGAGGGCACAAGAAGGCTACTGGGGGCTTCCTTCAGGCAAGATCGCTGCCCCCACCACCACCCGGAGAGGAAGAGGGCATGAGGGCAGAGCACTGGAATTAGCACATCAGATCAACTTTGTGCACTGTAAGTCCATGTATTTTCTGCATTACACTGCTGACCTCTGCACTCTGCATTGCACCGCTGACCTCTGTGTTACACCCTTGACCTCTGCACTCTGCGTTACACCACTGATCGCTGCACTCTGCTTTACTACTGACCTCTGCATTCTGCGTTACACTACTGACCTCTGCACTGTGCATTACCACTGACTTCTGCACTCTGCTTTACTACTGACCTCTGCACTCTGCGTTACACTACTGACCTCTGCACTCTGCGTTACACTACTGACCTCTGCACTCTGCGTTACACTACTGACCTCTGCACTCTGCGTTACACTACTGACCTCTGCACTGTACATTACTACTGACCTCTGCACTCTGCTTTACTACTGACCTTTGCACTCTGCTTTACTACTGACCTCTGCACTCCGCTTTACTTAGTAATGACCTCTGCACTCTGCGTTACACCACTGACCTCTGCATTACTACTGATCTCTGCACTCTGTGTTACCTAGTACTGACCTCTGCACTCTGCTTTACTCACTGTTGACCTCTGCACTAAACGGGGGATTCATGACAGCTGTAGCAGACCGAATCTGGAGAAGTTGCCCATACCAACCAATCAGTTTCTGTCTTCAGTCTGTTCAATTAAGCTTTGGAAATGAAAGAGAAGCTGATTGGTTGCCATGGGAAACTGCTCCAGATTTCATCTGCACCGGTTTTGATCAATTCCCCCCCATGGGTGTTACTACTAAACTCTGCACTCTGCCTCACAGAAGAAGCAGAAGGGGAGCGGAGCAAGTCTGGGCGCAGATGAGAAGCACTAAAAAGCATGCTAGGGGAGGAGTGCCTGAGTACCGAACATAGAGCAGAGGAAGGCCGGAACCGTGCGGGGATCCCAGTGGGAAGAAAGCACCATCCCCTGGCCAGGGGGTTCTTGTTTTCAAATTCTCTTTAAAAAAAAAGTGATTTAAAAAATGTCACATTGTGATTTGCCTTAAATACAAATAAAATACTGAACGATAACTACAACTATATAACAGGATTGAAACGCGAGGACACCTTTAGCTGATTGGTTGTTGGGTCGCTGTGTATGCACTGCGCTTTGTGTTGGCCAATAAGACTTAATGACAGGTTGATGTCTTCCATGCTGCTGTTTCTGGTGGGACTTATTGAATGGACTGAAGCAGCACACGCAGGGTTAACCTACCTGTCCAGAGGCATTAAGGTTTTCCAGCACGCTGGACATTTTCTTTTAGCACTGTTGACACGCGGAAGTGCCCATTACTACCCCTACTGTAACCTGACCTGGGATCGAGTATCTTATGGCTACCCTTAGGTAGGAATGGAATGCATTACATCAGTGGTAGGCGTTCTCAGCACTCAAACTGCAAATCCCATCATCCATCTGCCTCTGGGAGTCATGCCTGTGGCTGTCAGAGTCTTGTAGTTCCACAACAACAGAGCTGAGGTTGCCTCCCCCTGCATTACATAGTCATAAACTGTCTCCGTTCCATCGTCATGGTCCTTGTCTTCATTGTCACAGTTGCTCTTCCCCCGGTGTTTACAATGTTCATTTCTTGAGTCCAATGACAAGCAAACCGGGAGCACTCCAGTGGTGACTGTCCCTCTTGACATTGCAGAATTTGGATCTGGTCATGTGATGTGGGAGCTCAGTCACGTGCTCTACCTGTGCAGAACGGTGACGCAGCCGTGGTGACTGATGGCGCGGAGCAGCGGCTGCCCCTCGGAAACCACGTTTGTCAGCGGATCGTACACAAAGGTTTTCTCCATCCCTTCCCCGTTTTCATCCCTTCCGCCCAGAATATAGATCTTCCCTCCGCAAACCGTCACCCCGCAGCTTTCCTAGAGAAAGAGAGAGACATCATTGCAGGTATAGTTAACCATATGAGAAAAAAAAAAAATCGCAAAAAAACTACCATATCCAGAACTGGCCATAGGCGACGCTTTATAAGCTTTTACCGCTCATCAATATAGTGTTATCAGTGATTGATAGCCCTAAAATTATTACACGCACTCCGGCGTTCACGGTGATATGTAACATGTGTGATGTAATGGTTGTTATCCCCCACCAGAGGGAAGAATGTCCCTCATTTCCTGTCACCAGGACCAATGGTGTATTTTGGTTTGGGGCTGCCCTAGTCAAGATGAAATTCGACATGTTCCGCTAATAGCCCACCACAGATCCTGCACAGGCCCATTGAGACCCTGCGGAGCCCACAACAGATCCTGCAAAGTCCCGCTGAGACCCTGCGGAGACCACCACAGATCCTGCAAAGCCCCCCCCGAGACACTGCGGAGCCCACCTAGACCCTGCAGAGCCCACCATAAACCCTGCAGAGCCCACCACAGATCCTGCAGAGCCCACCATAGACCCTGCAGAGCCCACCACAGATCCTGCAGAGCCCTTTTATGTTAGGTTTATGTTCTGTCTTTTATGTCGGGAGTTCAGCTGCAATCAGAGTTCTCACCAGTGGTCCGGGTAATGCGGCCGCCTCGTTCCATACATCCACCTCCGGCTTGTATCTGAAGATGGTGCTCATTAACCCTCCAATGACATAAACCGTCCCATCTAACTCCACTGCACTGATACAGTCCTTGCAGAACGGGGCGGGGGACTTGTAGGTCCATTTATCCTCCACGGGATCGTAACACTGAACCTGGAAGACACACAACACACAACACTTCTGTCATAATGCTGAAGAAGCCGATTACAGCTCTCTAAGATAATACAAGATGGAGGGAAATACAGAGGCCACGAAAGCTGTATCCCATAATCCTCAGATTCTAGTGGACAGCTTCTGGATCAATCACTTGTTTGTACTGGACTCCTACTATGTGGTTGTAGCACAATGTGTCCACAATTATTGTGTGTTAAGATCTACTTTTCAAATGACGAGCTCAATGACATCTACTAACCATAAAAAAATAACTGGGCTCTGACGGTTCGTACATTTCCAATCAGTTCTCTCTCCTACATTTTTACACTCAGAGCCAGGATTGTGGGAGGACCAAGTGCAAGGACACAAGATGTCTCTCCTTTCTCTCCCCTGGCTGTCTCTCCTCTGTCTCTCCTGCCTGTCTCTCCCCTGGCTGTCTCTCCTCTGTCTCCTGGCCGTCTCACCCTCTCTCCGCTGGTTGCTTCTCCTGGCTGTCTCTCCTCACTTTCTCTCCTCGCTCTTTCTCCAGGCTGTCTCTCCTCGCTCTCTCTCCTGGCTGTCTCTCCTCATTCCCTCTCATCTCTCTCCTTGCTGTCTCCCCTAACTCACTTTCCTACCTGTCTCTCCTCTCTCTCTCTCTTGGCTGTCTCTCCTTTCTCTCTCCTGGCTGTCTCTCCTCTCTCTCCCCTGGCTGTCTCTCTCTCTCTCCTAGCTGTCTCTCCTGGCTGTCTCTCCTCTCTCACCTGGTTGCTTCTCCTGGCTGTCTCTCCTCACTTTCTCTCCTGGCTCTTTGTAATGGATCCCGGGGACGCCGCCGTTCCGACTCACGGAACCGAGTGGAAGCTCCGCCCCCGGGCCGTCGACGTCATACGAGACCGCCTCCGGCCTCGTCATAAGCCTTGATCTCCCACCTGTCTGGCGTTCCAGCAGCCCAGCGTGGACGCCAGACGAGTGCCGGTCTCCTTGCCTACAGCCACACTCACCACAGCCTGCCTCAGTACTCACCACCCGAGATTGGACCCCGGCTGACAAACCCTGGGACACTCCGAGCTAGCGTGGCCAGGATCAAGCCACCCCGAACAGCAGGACGCCCAAACCGCAAGTATTCCCCTCTGGCTTGCCACCCACAGGGGATTTAACCTTTGCTGTAAGCTATCTGGGACTTGTACGTACTTTTGCATTGAAGATAAGGGAAGTCTTCCCCCTGCTGGTGGCTAATGAGATTGCATGCACTACTGAGATTATACTGTTTCTGTGGAACCACTTGTTACACCCCTGCTTGATGAACTGTGATATTACTTGGCTTTCATATGTGAAGTGAACATAGGAAGTTATAAAAATCAGGTCCATTGCTATATAAGTGATTGGGAACTCACGTATAGGGTTTGTGTGAATTGAACATACTCTCTTAAAGACGCTCATTGCTATGTGAAGTTAACATTAGTGAAGCGTAACACTCCCAACATCGTTCCTAGAGACTCCTCCTTATTTGCGCATTCCTTTATATTAATTACTTTAGGTGTAGCAAGCTTAGTTAGGTTGGAAGATAGATCAATGATGCACTGAGCTTGCTTGGCAATATCAAACCTTGCCATCACGTACTCCTGGACACAACAGATCCTGCAAAGTCCCGCTGAGACCCTGCGGAGACCACCACAGATCCTGCAAAGCCCCCCCCGAGACACTGCGGAGCCCACCTAGACCCTGCAGAGCCCACCATAAACCCTGCAGAGCCCACCACAGATCCTGCAGAGCCCACCATAGACCCTGCAGAGCCCACCACAGATCCTGCAGAGCCCTTTTATGTTAGGTTTATGTTCTGTCTTTTATGTCGGGAGTTCAGCTGCAATCAGAGTTCTCACCAGTGGTCCGGGTAATGCGGCCGCCTCGTTCCATACATCCACCTCCGGCTTGTATCTGAAGATGGTGCTCATTAACCCTCCAATGACATAAACCGTCCCATCTAACTCCACTGCACTGATACAGTCCTTGCAGAACGGGGCGGGGGACTTGTAGGTCCATTTATCCTCCACGGGATCGTAACACTGAACCTGGAAGACACACAACACACAACACTTCTGTCATAATGCTGAAGAAGCCGATTACAGCTCTCTAAGATAATACAAGATGGAGGGAAATACAGAGGCCACGAAAGCTGTATCCCATAATCCTCAGATTCTAGTGGACAGCTTCTGGATCAATCACTTGTTTGTACTGGACTCCTACTATGTGGTTGTAGCACAATGTGTCCACAATTATTGTGTGTTAAGATCTACTTTTCAAATGACGAGCTCAATGACATCTACTAACCATAAAAAAATAACTGGGCTCTGACGGTTCGTACATTTCCAATCAGTTCTCTCTCCTACATTTTTACACTCAGAGCCAGGATTGTGGGAGGACCAAGTGCAAGGACACAAGATGTCTCTCCTTTCTCTCCCCTGGCTGTCTCTCCTCTGTCTCTCCTGCCTGTCTCTCCCCTGGCTGTCTCTCCTCTGTCTCCTGGCCGTCTCACCCTCTCTCCGCTGGTTGCTTCTCCTGGCTGTCTCTCCTCACTTTCTCTCCTCGCTCTTTCTCCAGGCTGTCTCTCCTCGCTCTCTCTCCTGGCTGTCTCTCCTCATTCCCTCTCATCTCTCTCCTTGCTGTCTCCCCTAACTCACTTTCCTACCTGTCTCTCCTCTCTCTCTCTCTTGGCTGTCTCTCCTTTCTCTCTCCTGGCTGTCTCTCCTCTCTCTCCCCTGGCTGTCTCTCTCTCTCTCCTAGCTGTCTCTCCTGGCTGTCTCTCCTCTCTCACCTGGTTGCTTCTCCTGGCTGTCTCTCCTCACTTTCTCTCCTGGCTCTTTGTAATGGATCCCGGGGACGCCGCCGTTCCGACTCACGGAACCGAGTGGAAGCTCCGCCCCCGGGCCGTCGACGTCATACGAGACCGCCTCCGGCCTCGTCATAAGCCTTGATCTCCCACCTGTCTGGCGTTCCAGCAGCCCAGCGTGGACGCCAGACGAGTGCCGGTCTCCTTGCCTACAGCCACACTCACCACAGCCTGCCTCAGTACTCACCACCCGAGATTGGACCCCGGCTGACAAACCCTGGGACACTCCGAGCTAGCGTGGCCAGGATCAAGCCACCCCGAACAGCAGGACGCCCAAACCGCAAGTATTCCCCTCTGGCTTGCCACCCACAGGGGATTTAACCTTTGCTGTAAGCTATCTGGGACTTGTACGTACTTTTGCATTGAAGATAAGGGAAGTCTTCCCCCTGCTGGTGGCTAATGAGATTGCATGCACTACTGAGATTATACTGTTTCTGTGGAACCACTTGTTACACCCCTGCTTGATGAACTGTGATATTACTTGGCTTTCATATGTGAAGTGAACATAGGAAGTTATAAAACCAACAGGTCCATTGCTATATAAGTGATTGGGAACTCACGTATAGGGTTTGTGTGAATTGAACATACTCTCTTAAAGACGCGCATTGCTATGTGAAGTTAACATTAGTGAAGCGTAACACTCCCAACATCGTTCCTAGAGACTCCTCCTTATTTGCGCATTCCTTTATATTAATTACTTTAGGTGTAGCAAGCTTAGTTAGGTTGGAAGATAGATCAATGATGCACTGAGCTTGCTTGGCAATATCAAACCTTGCCATCACGTACCCCTGGGCTAGAGCACGTGATTGTAAACGTGTCTCCGCAGCTGAGCTCCATCTTCCTATTTAATAGATCATTACACTCTTGGTGCTCTCTCTCTCCTGGCTGTCTCTCCTCATTCTCTCTCCTGGCTGTCTCTCCTCATTCTCTCTCCTGGCTATCTTTCCTTGCTCTCTCTCTCTCCTTTCTGTCACCCCTAACTCCCTCCCCTGGCTGTCTCTCCTTGCTCATCTTCCTGGCTGTCTCTCCTCGCTCTCTCTCCTGGCTGTCTCTCCTCATTCCCTCTCCTGGCTGTCTCTCCTCGTTCTCTCTCATCTCTCTCCTTGCTGTCTCCCCTAACTCACTTTCCTGCCTGTCTCTCCTCTCTCTCTCTCCTGGCTGTCTCTCCTCATTCTCTCTCCTGGCTGTCTCTCCTCATTCTCTCTCCTGGCTATCTTTCCTTGCTCTCTCTCTCCTTTCTGTCACCCCTAACTCCCTCCCCTGGCTGTCTCTCCTCGCTCATCTTCCTGGCTGTCTCTCCTTGCTCTCTCTCTGAGCTGTCCCTTTTTGCTCTCTCCCCTGGCTGTCTCTCCTTTCAGGGGCACCCCAAATGTTCAGCAGCTTTTCACCTGCTTCCCGGCTCTTCATGCGCGCTGTCCTGTGCGCCGGGCAGTGCTAGTAATGTGTCCCCTCCCCCATCTGCAGCGTCCGACATATGTTGCCGCACTAGCACCAAGGGAGGGAGCTCAGGACATCTAGCTGCGATCTACCAGCTTTAGCTTTGCAAGCAACTGGTAGATGGTGATTGACCTAATGGGCACCCCTGTTGTAGCGCCTCCCCCGACTCCCTAAACTTCTATAACATTGTATAACTGGCAGAGACAGAGCTGTCTATTCTTCTAGTAATGAGCTGTCTGTCACCCAGTTGTCTATACTAGATTTCTAGAACCAAGCTGTCTGTTGCTCGCCTGTCTCCGATTGAAACCTCAGACTGACTGTACTATGGGAGGGGAAGAAGTCAATGAGCTGAAGCTGAGAAAAGGATTTTAAAAAAAACAAAATGGGAAGACTTGATGGGCCATTTGGTCTGTTTTTGCCGTCACTCCTTTATGTTTCTCTGTGTGTAAATTGTATTTTTAGCTATTGAGCATTGTGTGTAGGAACAGTCAGGCAGACATGCCCAGAGCTCCATTTGCTGGCTGAAGGGTAAAACACAAAATATTTATAGAACAACATGACAAAACCACCTCGCATTAAATATTAACACAAGGTAGACTTCATTACCCCAATCCCGCTGAATATCAGAAATGAGGATTACCTTGTCTGTGCTCCGATAATCATCTACTGCTCCGCCAATGACATAGAGCTTGTTCATCCAAGAGACCACCCCCGCAGAGCTCACAGCCTCCAGCATGGGAGTGCCAGTGGTCCAGGAATTGGTGAATGAGCTGTACCGTTCCATTGAGGACAACCGGCTCTGACCATCAAAGCCACCAACTGCGTAGATCTGTGGAGTAGAAGAGATGGGCATCCTGTTATTAGGGGACTGTGTGTCTTCTATGTCGTCATAAATGTAAATCTGGAATTTGTTATATAATTGTATATTAGACCCCACCACCCTAGGTATTCACTAATTAATAACTTTTATGTCATGAAGTGGAACTTTATTCAATCTGTGTTTGAGGGATCTCTTGCCTTGGTATATTTAGTTGCACATTATGGCGCATTTACCAAATAGTGTGCCTTCCTCTAGTGTTGACTAGACATGTGCGATTCGTTTCGTTACGAATCGAAATTCGTACGAATTTTCCTGAAATTTGTAAATTCGGAAGCATCCGAAATCCGAATTGCAGTTTCCGAATTATATCCAAAATACGAAATTCCGTTAACAAATTTCGGATCCGAATTTCTTTGAAACAGGAACTAATATTGCCCCTGTAAATGTCATGAACAACATGACAAGATTTTTTAATACGGATCCGCTGTTGCATTACAATACATACAAAGGCAGGAAATACGAAATTCCGTTACGAACATTCGTTATATATTGAAGTTAAAAAGCAAAGTACATATATATTGGAGTTGATGGTAGTTTTTTTTTATCCGAAATACGAAATTCGGATACGGAATCCGTTAACGGAATTCGTATTTCGGATAAAAAAACAACTACCACATCAACTCCAATATTAACAAAGGTATTTTTGCTTTTTAACTTCATCATAACGTATGTTCGTAAAGTTACGAAAATGTGCCGAAACTAACGAAAATCCGTATTTCGTACGAATCCGAATTGAGTTTCGGATACGAATTACGAAATACGAAATAACGGATATTCCGAAACGGAACGAAACGAAATGGAACAAATTTTTTGACGGCGCACAAGTCTAGTGTTGACAGATCCCTATATCCAGAGGCCACTCTATCCTCTACTGCCCCCATATTCCCACCCACTGCTTCTGGGTGCCCAATGGCTCCTCTTTGGCTATTGGGTGGCCATTGATGGATGTAACTGAGAAAAGGCTCAATGAAGTCCCCCTCGGCCCAACGAAGCCCCCCAATCCCCGGGTGTATGGTGAACATTTTCCAATACCAGACATTTTTCTGTTTTGTTAGTTCTTATTGTTTTGTTCTATTGTTCTCATTAAACAATTTTCATTTGGTAGGCGGGGGAGCAACATAAGCAGACCTTGCATTTTAAAGATAAGTTAGAGCAGTGGTTCTCAACTCGTGGGTCGCAACCCAAAAGTGGGTCGCGACACCCTCTGCAGTGGGTCGCGGCGTCATGTCTGAATAGACCAGCCTGAGACTGAATAGAGAGGGGGAATTTGTGGTTCAGCCTGTGGAACCTCATGTCAAACTGTCCCCTCTCAAACTCCCCGTTATCCGGCATCCACGGAGATTGGCAGACTCTGGATAAATGTTGTTTCTGGTTACTTAAGAGTTACTATTATAAATAGGTTTAACTAATGCTATACCCCATACTATACCACACCATAACAAACTCTGTATTGACTTCATATTAATATTGAAATAAAGTAACCAAAGGCAAATTAAGACGATCAGACACACTTAGCATTCCAGCACTTGTATTACACAACTAATACTGTGTGCACTGTGGCTGCCTGACATTGGGACTGGGAATCCACAGTATATTGTAATCTATGAGAAATACAGTGCAGTACTGGGAGTGATCACTAGGTGGCGCTTGTTCACAGACATCACTTTTCACAGATCGTCAGACACTCATTCCCAGGATAATACAGCACTTTTTCGGCCCATTTCTCTACCCTCCCATGCTGCAGAGCCCTCTCTCCCTCTCCTAGAAGGTCACAGATCAGCAGAATAGTGAGTGCACATTGGATTTGTTTTTTGCTGAGTAGATGAGAGCTCCAGTTAGTTGACTGTGAAGGTTCTCATTCATCCAGGCCGTGGTCTATCTGTAAATAATAAGTCAAGGCAACTGGACTTGCTGTATTTTTCTTGAAGACGTTTCACTGGACATCCGACCAGCTTTCTCAGTTCAGAATATGTGTACGTGTCTTCAAAGGAGTGACCTTTTTCTTTTAGATGTAGGTATAGTGCCGAATCCTGACCAGAGGGTTTGGCTCTTCTATGCTGTGCCATACACTGGTGTAGCTGCTGTTTTGTTTCACCGACATACAATTCTGAGCACTCCTCACTGCACTGGACAGCATACACAATGGTGCTCACCTCTCTCTTGCAAAGCGTTGGGGCTTTCGGGTGAACCAGTTGTTACCTCAGTGTATTGATGAGTTTAAAGCAGACAGAGATGTGATGTTTTTTTAAAACTCTTCTGAGTTTCTCAGACACCCCCCAGCTACATATGGGATGACCAAATTCTTCCGTTTGTCATGCTTTTCTCCCTCACTGGTACTCTTGGCATTCCTTCCTCTCCTTCTTTCTGTTTTGACAAAAGCCCAGTCTGGATACCCGCAAGTTTTAAGGGCCCCCTGAGGTGTTTGAATTAACAGAGAGTTTAGTGTAGTAACACTTTTCATGAACATCTTCTGATTGCATGCTCTCAGTAGACTCTCCCATACACCGTCAGAGTATGATGAAGTTTCCAATTAGTCCGATCATCTGTTTATCTAATCATTGTGCTCTAATCTGATCATTACACTCACTGTCAGCTGTACAAAGTTGCTGATATAGTGCATAGTTAGTACATAAAAACTGGAACCCGTGTATGGACACACTTGAGGACTGGCCACACACAGGCCATGAAATGTGTAGGACAGAAGGTATCTGGAATGATCTGCACTCACTTGTCCCTTCAGTGTCACCATGCCATGTCTCCATCTCCCCGTGTTCAGCGAGGCGACTTTAATCCAACTGTTCACATGGACATTGAGCATCCAAACCTCTCTGCTGTGTATATGACCACCTGGAATGTGGGATGATATACCGCGGGAATTAAAGGGTAACTCCACACACAGCCAATATTTCATTTTTGTACTCCAATTACAGTGAACCTTTTACTTTACAAGACAGAAATACATTCCTGAAGCATTGCAATATACAGCAACAGTTTGAACTCTCCACCTTTATCATGCAAAACCATCCTGGAGCTCCGGTCTCGTGACTCTGCCTAGGCTGAGATGATGCCCTCAGTCTGCTGCAGGCAGGAGGAAGCATTTCAGTCTCAGTCTCCTATGTTTAGGCTGCAACATTGTTACTTTGTAACAAGTCACAAGATGAGCGCTTGATCTGTGTTAGACATTGGCGAACACTGCACAGGCAGCAGGATGTTATATCTGTGGGTGTGCCAGCAACTAGGAAGTTATAACTAAAAGTGTGTATCTGAGCAATATATAAAACAAACGTAGTACATCTCAGCAATACCAACACATTCCTCATGTTGTATCCATTTAAAGAAACTGAAAGTACAAAAGAAGAGTTGCTGATCGACCAGAAATCCAGTGAGATCCTAACTTCCTGTTTGAGCTGACAACTCTGCTCAGGGGCGTCCCGAGGCCGGGTGTCATCTGGAGCGGGTACCGGTTGACACCCCGGCCTGACATCATCGTGCATGTGTGAGGACAGCAGCGCGCATGTGCGGCCAACCTGGTGATAACCACTGACAACCATCTTGGTGATGGACGCCGGCAAAGAGAGGAGGGGACGTTCACCCGGCGGGATAAGGTATGCCTCCAGGGCCCCTCCTCTCTCTTGCAACTGTTTTCAGAGGGGGTGACACCTAAATGACGTCAGTCATTTTGGTGTCACCCCTCCAATGGTATCACCCGTTTGCGGGCCGCACCCCCTGCACTCTCCTTGTTACGCCACTTCCTCTGCTATATGTAAATCCCAGACAATGCTGTCAGCTCTGCTTGTGTTCTTCTCTTCTGGGCTACATAACACCTCTCCCTCTCCTAACAAAAGGGGAGGTGTTCTGTACTCTAAAAGGGCAGGGCTGACAACACTGCTCGGGATTTCAGCACAGCAGAGGCTACAGGAAGTTACTGGAAGCTCACCGGATTTCTGGCCAGATCAACAGCAATTTTTCTGTACATGTACGTTGGATTAACACCTTTTTATGGTTTTCCTTTCAAAAGAAATGCATCAAAATATTTGCCAATGCATGCGTTCAGCCCCACAACAATGCACGTCATAGTGCACGTCAAGGTATCTTAATGGGATGTTTTTTAGAATTTTGCCCAGACTTACCCTTATGTATAGTATACTGTATATAGTGGATATAAGAAAACTTATATTTTCAATTCAGAAGCTCCCTCAAGCAATTTTTTAAAACTAGAAGCAGTGAAGAGTCTTGTAAATTCCTATCCCCTCCCCCTACAACCGCTTTGGGCACTCAGCCAGAATACTGATAGTTTACATTGACTACGTGCTGTTTACCAATGAACCCATATGTGTTCATTCATACCTGAGATATAAATGTTATTCTTCAACACACATGTGGCCATCTCCGATTTGCTGTATCCTGGGAGTCCCGAGAGCCCCGTCCACGTTCCCGTCTTGGGGTCACAGCTGTCAATGTAGGGTAACTTTAAGACACCCTTCTTGTCACAGCCACCAATGACAACGGTCATTTCAGACAAATCCATGAATCTGAAGGGATATTGTGGTACACAAATAAGAGGTATTCAGATATAATCACATTTGTTGAAGCCACCCGACCTTTGCAAATTTATACAGAAATGTATACAATGAACTTCAGATTCCAATTTATATTTATAATATGTACAGTGCAGCTCATTCATTATTTTTTTTATTAGTGTTCTTGTATGCACATAAGACCAGTTATCTAAATTCTCTACAAAACATTTTTTTTACAAACCCTCAAATTAAGACAAAAAAAAACCACAAAAAATGCAGGCACAAGACAAGGAAAAGGGCAAAAATGTAAAAGTCTTTCTAATATTTATTTTTGAGTATTTATTGTTTTATTAGTTTTAATACATCAGGAAAGATAATGATTACTGTTTGATTTAAGACATGATGTGTTAACAAAAAGCACATAAAACCACAAAACACATAAATAAATAACCGAAAAAAAATTGTAAAATATAAAACAAAAGTTTTTGGCCTTTTCCTTGGGGTTTTTTTTTCCACCTTTTATTAGTGAATTTTGAAGTAACTTGGAATGGCAAAATTAAAATGGTGAGGCTCTTGAAGGCTACAAAAGCTCTTTTTAAACTATCCTGGACCTGTCTGTGTTCCAAAAACAGCCCCTGGTTTGCCTCATTTTAGCTTTTTTTGAGGCAAAAAAGAGACCCAAATAGAAAATTAAATACATTAAACTACCCTAAATACCAGCAAAATATGCTATACATTAAAAAAAGAATTAAAAAAAATTTCCTACCTAATTCTCCTAAGCAGCTCAAATTTTTTCCTAGCGTTAAAAATTGTTTTTGCGGCTAAATCAATTTCACTGAAATCACTTCGCTCATCCCTACGAATGACATAAGCCAAAAAGTATCTAATTACCTTCTTGGTCTCATCCTAATTGAATTACCGCTGTTACCGAGAATATGGTACATCTGAGCTTCGTAAAACAAAGGGAAACACTCTGGGGAGTCATTCATGATTTTGTCCATTTCCACCTTCTCCAGGTAATAAGCAGGGTCCAGCAAGGGCAGTCTGACATGTTCCAGCAGATCCTTGGACACCTTTGCTCCTCCTCTTGTTTTATTTTTCCCGACCCATCTCAAGACGGCTTCAAAGACCACCTCCTCCTTGGACACCACTAGGTCATCGCTGGACAAGTACCCGATCAGTTCCTCTTTGCTTAGGTCCAGGAATTCCTCCTGCATGGAGACTTCGGTAAACCTTTCCATCATCATCTTCTGGGTTTTCTCAGACAGCGTAGGGATGTAATACTTGTCTGCAATTTGCTTGATCCCTACACAGTTCGAAGGGCCTAGTTGACGCTCAAGAAATTTCACGCACAGGTTTCGTAAACTGCTGATGTCAAGAAAGTCTGAAATCCGTAGGATCTCTTGAACATTTTCTTCTTCAATTGGAATTCTCCCTTCGTACATGAAGTCCAAAACCAGAGCCGTGTATGGCGCTGAAACGTCAGGAAGGTTGACCGTGCCAAGATGGCTTTCTTTCAGATTGCTGGTGAACATGGCTTGAAAATAAGCACTTTTGGCACACAGGACGACTCGGTGGCAGGGGAAGTGCTGACCTTCTACCTGTAGGGTTAGATCGGTGAACACCCCATTTTTCCTTGAGATGTTTAAACTCTGTAGGATTTCATTAGCGTAACATGACCCAACGCAGGGCCTAGAAATGACTCCGTGTGCTGTGTGTTCTCTGATGGGACTCTGGAGACACTTGGTCCCATAGCTCACTTCTTTTTTCATCCTGTAAAACAACAAATAATAATGAATAGAAATAATAGAAAATAAATATACCTTTGTTTAATCATCCTGGACAATCAGGATGACCAATGATCCCAAAGCCGTTGAGAAGATGTCGCTGTCGGTGAGGGAGTTTGCGAACATTACATTGTCGAAGCGGGGGAGAGGGGGGGGGGAGTATGGTTCTGCTCAGGGCCGTTCCATCAGGCAGCATCTCATTGGGAGCAATGGGAGGCGCTGTGGGTTGGCCGCAGGGTCCCATGTTGCTAAGAGCTCCGTCCGCCATCTCATCCAGCTCACTGGTGTCACTGGTTGCCAGGAGCTGAACAGGACACTCTGGCTTGCGCCCCGCCAAGCTCCTGGCAACCACTAACATCAGTGAGCTGGGTGGGATGCCAGACAGAACCGCTGACAATCAGCAAATTGTGTGGGGACAAGATGAGAAACACATACTTCCCACCACACTCTTTGACCCCAGGGGAGAGAGAGTTTTGGAAAGGTGCTCCCAAATATTTATCACCTTCCTCTAGCCATACCTCTGAGTGAGCCTTGCTCAGGGATTGGTCAAATGTGGACAAATGCACTTTATCCCATTTGTTATATCATTAGGAGTCCTAATGATATAACAAATATTATATATAAAAAGTCAAATTCTATTCTTTCTCTCTTACTTTAAGTGGATTTGTATTGCTGTCTCCGTCCCTGGGGGTGGGGTGGGGGGGGCAACCACTGTCAGCAATGGGAGAATCCATGTGAGTCATTCAGTAATTCAATTAATGATGAACTGCCCCTTTGCCAACGTTCATATTTTAAGCAATCATAAATCACCTCTGTATTTAATATACGTGATACGGAATGACCTGCCAGCTTGAACTGCCTACAAAAATCTCTGATGTGATTTACATACAACAGATGATAAGGGCTAAATTTTAATCCAAGCTAAAAGCTTTGAAAATGGGAATCATGATGCAGCCAATCAATATTTCCCATTAACAGACCTATTGTGCAAGAGACATTGTCACTCTGTGTGCTCAGGGCAGGGTGGTGTCCCTTCGAGGCCATGAGGAATAATAATTTTCTGGTTCATAATAACTT